GGGGGGGTTTTGGGGGGTTCGGGAAGGTCATGCCAAAGTCGTGTTTGCCACTGTTTGGGGGTTGGGGAGGGTTTTGTCGGGGTGGCTGACAAATGCAACAGAGGTGAACTACACACACGACGAAACGAGTACAAGACTGAAAGCATAAACATAATTTTTCAAAACCATTGAGTCATTTTCCATCATCTGCAAGTCTGCAAGAAACAATCATTGCACAAGTTTTGAAAGTGTAACATTACAGGCAAACGAAAGAACACGGCGAAACAGCTGCGCCGTACACACACAACAATAAAGACACATGCACGCTGGACTCAGTCAAATGGTGTGCGAAAGAACTGTCGAATCGTCAGAAACATCGATACAAAAATAACAGGAGAAACAAAAAATGAAACTGTGAGCACTGCACCTGCTGAGCCCGTGTCTGAAGAAATACTCAAAAAAGTGCAATCCTCTGCAACATCGATGATAAAATAAAACAAGAGACAAAACAAACTGCACCCGTGCATGGAAATAGTATACAATAGTCTAACCACCTATACAAATACAGATGCAGTCATGACGACCTGCACAGACCACTCCTACGAACACAAGGCCTCGTCTCAAGCACTACAGACTACTCCTATTAACACAAGGCCTCATCTCAAGCACTAAATATACTGTACACTACTAGGAATTAGAGGATGAAAGAAGACTAATGGTGGAACTATGCATCATTGTCGTCCACAATGTCCTTCCTCCTCCTCTGCGGCACCACACCTGTCACACCATCCCCACGACCTGTGCCGCCTGCCGGCGCGTGCGTAGTATCCGGAGCATGAATCTCCCCCTGTGGCGCCGCCTCAACCCCTCCATGTGCTCGAAGAAGATCGTACACGGAAACCCTCCTCCGCTGGCCAGAAGGCATCTCCAAATCGTCTGTGCCAGACTCCCAAACGACTGGCGCCTATGACGGTCGCTGCGCTGTCGATGCCCTCACATCCTCCCGCAATATACGTGCAACCATGCTCCTCCCGGGGGGCGCACTGTGCTCGGCGTGGTCGCCGGTGCCCGCTGTACGCCCTGCAGTGCGTGGCAACGTCGCCTTAGCAGGTGCGCTCATGGGCTGATTCGTCGCTCAGTCGGAGACCCTCTCCTGCCATCCTGCGGCGTCTGCGACAACGTCCCCGCTCAAAATCGCCCGTGTCCGCGGATGTAAACCGCCCAACCCAGGCTGACTCGCCCGCATCGTCGACGTCACTCTCCTCATGGTACTAAGATTTTTCCCTGCTCTCATCTTCTTCTTCCGTGACTGAGGAGAAGGAGACTCCCCGACAGGTGTTGGCGAGGGGCCCCGTACCGCCTCTGCCGCGACTGTGCCCTCCACATATGCGGGTGTGCTGACACCTGTGGTGGACGATGGCACTGACGGGCTGCAAGGCACGTAAGCCGAGGCCTCTGCCATCAGTCTCCTCGATGCCTCGGTCATCCGTCCCCAGCGATCTGCCTGCAACGGGTCCTCCCGTGCCTGCTGCTCCAACTCCCCCCGCCGGCATGGCCCCACCGAGAGGCAAAACGCAAACACCCTGAACTGGCGACGCAGGTCTCTCGCCCGCATCCCCTATGCCCGCAGTGCCGCACTCGCCCTCTGCATCACCTGCCTCAACGCCCGTCTCGAGCATCCGCGCTACACGTGCCCTCGATGCAACACTCCGCGTCATCTCGCAGCGGCTAGCCAACCCCTGCGCCCTCCTCCTCTCCTCGCGGTCGATCCTGTCCTGCTCTGACTCTGTCGCCCGCTCCTGCACAGGTCGATACTCCCCATCATCCCCAGCTGCACGCTCGTGCTGCCCCGACCGACCCGGTGCCCCCTCTGCTGCCTCCTGCAACCTGCTACTACTGATGTCGCCCGTGCTGCATGAAGGTATGTCACGAAGTACCTGACTGACGGGCGTGGCCGCTGCGTCCACATCGACACCGACACGCTCCCCTGCCGGTGTCGGAGGATGCCCTAACGAAACATCAAAAATGTTGTCGCTGAAACTGACACCCACCTGTGCAGATGGCCTCCCAACCTCTCCAGCATCGCCACTACCACCCGCAAACCCGCCTGGACCCTCCGCAGACGCTGCTGCGCCCTCTGCAGACGCCGCAGCAAACTCTGTAGGGGAGGGAGCAACCTTCCTAAACGCCGCAACGAACTCTGCAGGGGAGGGAGCAACCTCCATAGGGGAGGGAGCAACCACAGCTGCCTCAGCGGGCTTCTCCTCATCAACCCAATGCACAGTGCGAGTGGACGATGCAGACTCTCGCCTTACTTTTCTTGTGCCAGCACGCCCTGCACCACCTGTGCGCTCTGCACCCCCAACACCCGGCCCGCTGCCTCCCCTGCCTGCACCACTGCATCGGTCGCCACGCTGTCTCTCGGACTTCCGAAAACCACCCACAGCCCGTCCACCGTCGCCGCCCTCATCGTCATCGTCGTCACCATGTCCGCGTGTTGGGGAATAACAGGATCATCCTCATCCTCACTGCTGCCCTCATATCCCTCCCTATCGTCGCTATCGCCGTCGTTTCCCTCGTCCACACGCTCACAAGTCCCTCCCTGTCCGCGACGATCGGTCGAAGGGTGTGGCGTACTACTCTCGACACGGTCCGCCGGGCCTGGCTGTGAGACGTCGGGAGCACTCGAAGGAGGGCGTGCTGCGGGACACGGTGCAGCGGCCGCCGTGGACGCACGTGTGCGAGGACGCGGAATCTGGAAGAGAGGAGTGTCGTCGTCATCGTCATCCGAACCTCCTGGCTCTAACTCCACGGCCAGGTCGTCCGGATCGGACCACGGCTCGGCCTCCATCGCGTCCTGAGCTATGGGATCAGGCTCGGGATCGTACATCGACTCCAACTCATGCGCCATGAGCACCGTGGCGCGACGACCGAAATACGTCGCGACGCTGGGAGGTGCCTTTGAAAGGCGATCCTTCCGCCCGCGCTGGACCTGCCGGTCGCGCTGTGCCTTGGTGACTCGGTCAGCCGGCCGAACACCCTCATCAAGAGGCGGAGGAATAGCGTCCTTTGTCTCCTCCTCAGCGTCCTCCCATGGAAGAACGTACCCAGAACCCCTCCCCTGACAACAACTCAATCTCAAGTTGGTGGATATCTCCACCAAACGAGTCAGCTTGATGAAACAAAGTTGATTGCGCCTCTTCACCTGAACACACTCATGGACGTCCCAATTCCTCTCCGCCGGAGAGGCGCACGTCCATGTGTGCGACAAGCGAATGGCGATGCTATGAAGGAGAGGGACCCCGTCCCCGTGCTGAACCCACCACTGCCCCACCTGTGACGTCTCCTTCTCCCCTTTGCAGGCGGCCGCATCCGTGTCTCCCTCGGCCCCTCCATACGTCCAATCGCCCTCCCGAGAATGAAACTCCGCCAGCTGCGTGCGCAACGTCTGATACAAATCCTCGTCACCACCAGTCTGCTGGGGAAGGTATCGCAACGACTCGTCTGCCAGTATCCGCTCATGGTCGGTACGCCTCGCCGCTCCAAAAAAAGTAATGCTCCTCTGCCGCGGATTGAGGAGGTGGGCCATGCAATGTGCAGGCTCCATTAAATGAGCGACCCGCGCCTGACAAGCCTGAACAACGATGTGGAGCTTGTCCTTCGACGTCCTGTTAAGGCTTGCTCTCGCCACCCTGTCGACCCTGATAAAACCCCACGACCACATGCGAGTCATCACGCGACCCCCCCCGTCCATACGCCGTAGCATCTGCATCACAGGCGTCATGAGCACCACGATGTCCTCCACGTGCTCCCAGAATGGCACGTACCGCACCTAATGACGCACCCATCTGGCCTGCAGAAAAATGGACCTCCTCCATGCAGTCCGCAGCCAATCGTCGCTCATCATCAACGCCTCCAACGCTCTGCGACGATCCAGCAGCCTCTCCAACATCAAGTAGTGGGTGACAAACCTCGTCTGCATAGGGTACACAAGCTCCCTGCCTCGCCGCTGAGACGAGGGTGGCGCAGACCTCGAACCACCAGCCGCCGCGGAGGCGGAAGAGGGGTGGGCGGCAAAGAACCGTTGATAAAGGCTCAGAGTCGCCCCATGCTCTCTGATGAAACGCAAGACAGCTCGAGCCCTGATGATGGTGTCCTCCCTCTTCCCGAGGCTCCCGTCGCGCCCATCCTTCGCGATGTATGACAACAACAAGATGCAGACATGGACCGCACACGGAAGCCAAGTGATGCGGCTGTACTTGACTTCCTCCTGGGCGAGGAGCTTGGACGCAGCAACATACGCAGACGCGGAATCAGTACAAATGACGTTCACCTTGTCGACACCAAACTTGTCGAACACGTCCTTCCATCGCTCCACTACGGCCTCTGCTGTCTCCTGAACAGCACCATCCCGCTGCACAGTCCTGAAAAGGTACGCGCCCGTGGGACCAGTAGCAAGGAAGTTGACTATCTGGTCGCTCGTGATTGACTTGCGACCATCCGTGAGGATGGTCGCTCCCGTCGCCTCAATGTCCCTGCGGATGGCCGCCACCATGCCCGCCACAACTCACTGCTGCTGAGGGATGCCTTCGCACGAAATGACACGGTGCGTGGGTAATGCCGGATGTGCATACGGCGGACACTCGAGCAACTTCTTCCTCATCCTATGATACTCTGGCCTCCTCGCCGCCTCGAATGGGATGCCGCTCACGTACCACCACTGCAGGACGGAGTCCGAAAATTCTCATTGCCACACTGGATCGAAGGTCTCCAACATGGACGTCTGTCGAAGAACTCTGCTCTTTTTGGGCTCAGAAGGTGCTGATCTCGCCTCAGTGGTAGTCATCTTCGCCTTCCTCTTTCTCTTCTTCGATCCCGCAGCCTCCTTCATCGCCCTAGCTGCCCCCTCTTGGCCACGACGGCCATCGCCCATCAACCCCCCATCCAGAGAGGCCCCAAGGTCTGCTCCCTCATCGTCATCGTCGTCGTCGGCGTCCTCGTCAGGGGTGCTGTCCTCGTCAACGGCCTTCTCCTTCCTTAACTTTCTCCTGGCGCGCTCCACCTCTCGCCGCACCTCCATGTCCTCTGCATCACTCTCACCATCATTATCTCCACCCTCGACCGCCCTCCTCTCCTCCTCGCTGTCCTCAAACTCCTCATTCCCCTCCGGCTCCCTCCCCAATCCACATCTGTTGTCTCGCAACCCACGAGACTTCAGAAAGTTCATGATCTTCCGTGCATGGCTTGGATCGAACCTGTACTTTCTCTTGTTCCATATCTCCGCCATCTGCTCCACGGAGATTTTGGGGCAATTGTTCTTGATCGTGAAGTGCTGTGCGGCTTTCGTCTGGCTCCCTTGAAAACCCTGACCACACTACTTGCACTCCATGAGGAAATTGCCATTCGAATTCGGCATCGTCTGCCCCTTCGTAACCCACTTAAAGCCGCAAAACTTCAGCTCCACCTCCCTCTGCTTGTCTTTACTGACCGGAACGAATGGCTGATCTCCCCTCCCTTTCTTGGGCGCCATTGTAGCCTTGCAGGTAGCCCACCGCCCACAGATGTCGGAGCGGAGCTTAGTGGACAGCGCCAAAGCCCGTCCTGCCCGGGCCTGTCCCCCTTCCCCCCCCCCTCCCCCGACCACCCCCCACCACCCCCCGAAACGGGAAACCCTGGCGGCGAGCACGGCCCGACCACCAGCGGGTTTAGGCGTACGGGCCGTACGTACGGAATGCTGCGTACGTACGCGCGTACGGGCCGTACGTACGGGTGCCTCCGTACGTACGGGCGTGTGTGCGTGGTGTCCGCCGCCGCTACGCAGCGAGCCCTCCCGGAGAGTTGGCCGCTCCCCTTGCTCGCGCCGCCGCCGCCGTCGCCGGAACCGTCGTCGTCGCGTTCGCCGCTGCCGTCGGTGGGATCTCTCTCTCTCTCTCTCTCTCTCTCTCTCTCTCTCTCTCTCTCTCTCTCTCTCT